TTTTATTAATTGCGCAGGTATCGACGGTAAGTCACCGTGTCTTTTTCTAGAAGAAACGGAAAGAAACATTCAGATAATGATGGCTTTAAATATGAATGTTGTGGTCGATACCACGTATAGATTATGTAATTACTATTTAAAAAAGAAAAAAGGGGTTATAGTTAATATATCGTCGTTGTCGTCTTTTTTTCCTACTCCGTATTACGCTACTTATTCCGCATGCAAAAAATTTGTGGATGACTTCAGTAAAGCCGTTATGACGGAATTATCTGGAACAAACGTAACCTTGCAGTCTCTAACGCCATTTTTTGTTAATACTAGAATGTTAAGCGATAAACCTTATTTAATGACGTTAGGTCCATTTGTACCGTCGACCGAGACTTTTTGCCAAAGTTGGGCTAAAAGTATAGGAATAAGCAATACTTGTAGCGGTTTCTGGTTGCACGAGGTTTTAGCTTATTGTACTCGTTTTTGTCCTTCTTTTATATTGAATTTAAGTATGGGTAAAATATATTCAAATGCAGAAAAATTTAGAAAAGAAGTCCGTAATGAAACTAGTGCAGAAATTAATTAATTGATAACAAATTTTCTGTAAATATTGAATTGACTTCTCTATAATAGATTTTTGCCATTAAAAGTATTGTTTTCTTTGTGCAGGCAAAATGCTTTTCTGAACTTTAAAATTATAATATAAACATTTATCAAATGAATAATATTAACTTTAAACTGAATATAATGCGAGACTTAATGTAATTTTCTCGTGTAATTTTAAATATCTATATTGATATAACGTTTACTGTTTAATAGCAATCAATAACTGTATTTTTACATATATTTAATATTTGTACTTAATTTCTATAATTTTTATTTAGTTTTATGCATGTAAAATTTCAATAAAATAACTTTATACTTATCCAATGTTCGATCTAATTTAAAATATTTTATAACAATTAATTAACACTGAGGACAAAGTCTGTCAAACAGCCACCTTTTTTATTCATTTTTATGTTCCGGAATACACTCCATGATCATCTGACCGTTTCTTTGAGGCTACTTGGTCGCCAAGCTTTAAAATCTCTCTTAAAACATAAAAAAAATATGTATTCGGTAAAAAAAAGTAGGAGTAAAGACAAACAGACGTCGTTTTGCTTTTCCATTCATACGTTCTTTTGGCTATATTATTGTTTGAATTTTTATGTATTGAGAAAAACCTAATATATAAATATCTAGTTCGTCTCTGGCAATAAATCCTTGTAAAATATTTTCAATTTTGTAAAATTCTCTCGAATGGTAATATTATAAAATTGGAAATAATGTATAGGCCACTGTTTAACTGTGAACATTTTGTGATGTAAACTTGATGTACAGTACATGTACAGTTCATTATCTGTTTTCAATGAAGTTTTTCTTAATAAGAAATCTTCCTATTTCAAGTTATAAAAAAAAAAAATATAACGAATGTATAATAGTTAGGAGATCGATACGGGAGTTCGAAAAAAACCCAGGAATATTTCGAGTAGTAGTTTGTACCAGATACGTCGACCTCCTCTCTCACCATCCTGTTTCCCCATTGTAGGCTGGACGAATCCACCATGATGAGCATGAAAAAAGTGCCTACAGAGTGGGAACAGTTTGAAAAAACCCATAAATGTAAGCAAGAATGTGGAGATTTTCTTTATTTTACTGTACAATTTATTTTGATGTTATCTGTAGACTGCTTATTTACTAATTATGCTAATACAATTATTAGTTTTTAATATATAGTTTTAAACTTTGAATTTTTAATTTTATTTTTCGATATTTAACTTTTTTAATTTGTACGCACTACAAGTATTTATTACAAAGACTAATAGGTAAAAACTGTCCTTTATTTTTTTCTAAATTCTGTATTCTTAGCATTTGGTGTTAAATAAAAATTAAAAATTTGTGTTTATTTATATTCATTCTATACATAACACTTTAATATAAAAGAACTAAGTTTTTCCCTGTATACAACGTCACAGAAGCACGTGAATATCTCTAAAAATACATTAATACATGTATGTATAGACTACAGTCTTGTTGAAATTATAACTGTAATATTTACATAGTTCACGTTTACAAATAACATTTTTTTAAAATATTGATAACTTTTGTAAATAAAACATATTCAAACTTCGATTTAGGGCTGCCAATTCTTCGTCTCCATTGTACCATTATAGAATCAAATAGGAGTATTTATGCTTTATAAATGCTTTATAAACATCCGAAAAGTTCCTGACGACCCAAACCTTGCTCTAAAATAGATTTCCCAAAAAGAAAGCAAGATCAACGTTCGGACAATTTCAAGTGTTTCAATGTGTCCGGTCCAATAGTTTTACGTATAACAAAAAAAATCTGTTGTAAATAATAACCGTATGATTATCAAACTGTAGAATTAAATTGTTTATCAATTTACAGAAATCATAATAACTGATCTGATGTAGGGGAGACCGGGGCAACTTCGTCATACGGGGCAAGTTTGTTAAGCGCTTTTTCTTTAAAACAAATTAAAAAGAGACTTTTGTTATAGGTTAGGCAGTTGAGTTTTATTGGTGGCTTGTTGAGTGTAGTGTTTTTATTGTTCTCCAACAAGCGTAGTTGAATTATCAAGCAAATTTTCATTTTCGTTCAATTCCATATAATATTTTTCTTCCATTTATATTGAATTGGCAGGTTTTGTTATAATTCCATGATAACGAAAGTTACTTTTCCTGTT